ATCCCATCACAATATAATGTTAACAATGTTTATTTATATTTGATGCATGCGCAGGATGTACAATGTTTGAGACCTCGAGCGTTCAAACGAAAATTTCGGTTCTTTAAAATACCGGTTTCAAATGAAATTGAGGCATCTACTACCCAGTAATATCCACAAATCTGAATCCTCTACATGATCCCATCACAATATAATGTTAACAATGTTTATTTATATTTGATGCATGCGCAGGATGTACAATGTTTGAGACCTCGAGCTAAATTGGACGTTCAAACGAAAATTTCGGTTCTTTAAAATACCGGTTTCAAATGAAATTGAGACATCAAATATCCCATAATACCCACAAATCCGAAAACACATAATGTTTATTTTCTAAATGAATCCATCATAATCTAATACTAACAATTCGGTCGCCACCTTTATGTGAGTACAAACGTGTTTTGATGATAACCTGTTTACTACTCTGTTTGTGATCGATGTTATCATTTTACAAGTGACTATCAACGTATATCAGCGATTACAGACTGAGTGTTTACAAGTAGCTGTGAGATAGTGCGCGTGTACCAGATACAAGTAATCACTACTGACCGGTATTTCAAGTGTTTGAATAACAAGTGCTTCGATCTTTCACTGGTGTACAGGATGTAGGTAAAACGACAAACATATAGTCGCAGGAATTTGGTAAGATAAATAGTCCACAAGATGTGTGCGACCACTTATTTCATAGTTAGTGAGGACCCGTGAAGCACAGGCCCTCGTGTCTTTGCAAAGATTAAAGATTAAGAAAAATAATTGTTTGAGATGACCCCCAAACTCGAAATGCCTCACAGTACAATACATTATGACGTCATGATATATTGTACTGTGAGGCATTTCGAGTCGGGGGTCATCTCAAATTTGTTTATTTTTTCAAAATCGTTAATCCGCGCAAAGACACGAGGGCCTGTGCCGTGAAGGTCCGGGTTAGAATTTGCGTTCAGTACCCATGCTTGTCGTAAGAGGCGACTAACGGGATCGGGTGGTGAGGCTCGCTGACTTGGTTGACACATATCATCGGTTCCCGATTGCGTAGATCGATGCTCATGCTGTTGATCACTGGATTGTCTTGTCCAGACTCGATTATTTACAGACCGCCGTCATATAGCTGGAATATTGCTGAGTGCGGCGTAAAACTAAACTCACTCAGTAACTCACAGTTAGTGAGTGAGTATGGTTTAAGCAGAGATCAAGCTAAATAACGAGGGAACATTGAAATCGTCAGTGAATATTCACATTGGGACTCGAACCTGGATTTGCGGCGTAGCGATCGAACGCTGTAATCACGGTGCCAACGTACTCATTTTATGATTTCCCACCTTGATTCTCCGGCTTCAAAAATATATTTGGCACAATCGGTCACATCAGACCACACACAGGCCCTCGTGTCTTTGCGAGGATTAATGATTTAAAAAATATTGTTTTTGAGATGACCCCGGACTCGAAATGCTTCACAGTACAATACATCATAATGTATTATGCTGTGAAGCATTTCGAGTCGGGGGTCATCTCAAATTTTTGATTATATTTTATAAAATCTTTAATCCTCGCAAAGACACGAGGGCCTGTGCACCAGACAAGCAGATAATATTAGAAAGGCGTATGTCTGTGGCGAGCAGGGACACTATCTGAAAAGAATGTATCATTACCCCATAAAAATATCTCATTGTTGGGTGGTCGGTTTGTTGTCTAACGCCGTAATATTCCAGCTATATGGTGGCGGTCAGTAAATAATCCAGTCTGGACCAGACAACCCAGTGATCAACAGCATGAACGTCAGTCTATTGGGATACGGTGACATGTTGGTCAACCACGTCAGCGAGCCTGACCACCCGATCCCGTCGCGAAAAGCACGGGTTACTGAAGACCAATCTAACCCCGATCTTCACGGGTCTCACTGACCAGTCGCTGTTGAAACATCCTTCTTAGGAAATGGTTTGAATCCACGGGGGGATTTAACAGCTAGCTGACTCCGATGGACGGTGCGGTGAAATGGGGTTCCAGCACACACTTTATAATGAGTGCGTGAGTTACTGTTTGTACTAGTCCGGACTAATGCGGGCTTCATAACCCTAGCCCACTGAAATACTGACACAGTACAGTCAAAGAAATTGTCGGATTAACGAGAATGTACAGATCATGTTCATGGTCAAAAACAGGACAATCGTGATTCACGTTAAGTGTGTATGTGAATAAAACTAAAACGAGAATTAAATCAGAGTTCAGGTCCTTTTATTAGCCACTTATTTATTGTATACTGACAATTAATCAGTCCATGTTTTACCCTCACATGGAGAACGTCAGGCAGGGTAACAAAAAGTTTCATCTTTTGACGCCTCTTGGTACCCCGCGGCAGGGGATCGAACTACCGACCTTCAACCGATACAATTTCGTATTTTGGTCTAAATTTTCTATGGCGTCAAATGCGTAATTCATGAATATGGAAAATATAACACAATTCTGCTCGATACAAAGCAACTAATCAAATCACAGTTATTAAATATCTTTCACAGTTACCTCCCTTTGGTGAATCAGAACCCACGTTCACATTTGTTTCAGGGTTTTTCTGCACCGTACCACTGTTCATGGGCTACAACAAAGTGATGAACGTCTAAGACCTGCACCAGATTTCAGACAAGCTGGTACGCCTTGACTGAAATACTGTATAAAGCGGCATTAACTATACTCACTCACTCGTATTTTATATAGGGGTTGTTGCTTCCTGCAACGTTTATCAGGTGATGCCCACAGTATAACTATGTACATTCTACTGTTTATGTTGGTGTTGAAACATGATACATGTACTGGAGTGAGTGAGTGAGTGAGTTTGTTTGGTTTTACGCCGCTTTTAGCAATATTCCAGCAATATCACGGCGGGGGACACCAGAAATGGGCTTCACACATTGTACCCAAGTGGGGAATCGAACCCGGGTCTTCGGCGTGACGAGCGAACGCTTTAACCACTAGGCTACCCCACCGCCCTACATGTGCTGGAGATAGTGTACTGAAGTACTAAGGTTTAAACAGTCAAAGTTTCATTGCGACTAGCTAATAATACATTGACATGTCGGTTATCGGAAGCTGTCTGAAGGTCAAGGTCGACTTTGACCAAACACTGACTGTGCTTGAGTGAAACAATAATTACAGACAAAGTGTCAGCATTACATTTGCGTGTGTGAGTGAGTGTGTTTAGTTTTACGCCGCTTTTAGCAATATCCCTGCAATATCACGATGGTATTACCTTTGAGTGAGTGAGTGAGTGAGTTTAGTTTTACATCGCTTTTAGCTATATTCCAGCAATATCACGACAGGGAACAGCAGAAATGGGATTCACACATTGTGCCCATGTGTGGAATCGAACCCGGGTTTCGGAGTGTCGAGCGAACGTCCTAACCACTAGGCTGCCCTACCACCCCGTATTACCGTTGAGGTGTAGATTGAATGATTGAGTGAGTGATTGAGTGAGTGAGTGAGTGAGTTTAGTGAGTCAGTGAGTGAGTTTAGTGAGTGAGTTGCGTTTTGCAGTCATATCAAAGCGAGGGACCAAAAGAAATTGGCTCGATGTGTCCACTTTCACAAAGTGTAATTGAACTCGAGCCACATATACCAAGCGAACGATGTAACTACTTGGCCACTCCTCACTGCCAAATAAATAACTACACTGCTCTTTTTTTCATTTAGATCAGGTAAAAGGTCGTTATCACTGTTATTAATATTTACAAAATTATGTCGATGATGAAGATAAAGTCAATGTCCAACCTACAGTGGTATAATTTTGTCTGCTTGTTTATAACGCCTCACAAAGCTATATGGCGGCGGTCTGTAAATAATCGAATCTGGACCAGACAATCCAGTTATCAACATCATGAGCATCGATCTACACAATTGGGATACGATGACATGTGTCAACCAAGTCAGCGAGTCTGACCACCCGATCCCGTTAGTCGCCTTTCACGATAAGCATGGATTCTGAAGACCCATCTAACCCGGATCATTACGGGTATATCGACTAGTATTTTTAAGTAGCTGTGCCTCATCTGCGTCTATACAATGAATGGCCATAGGATACATGATATGACAGAACTGGGCACAAGAGAAGTTTGACGGCGACGGGATCGCCGTTTATGAACCTCGGTTATCCAGCACTATACGTGGCCCTGAGAGCGGGCAGTCGGTGGTTCGATCTTCAGCCCCTTCACACCAAATGACGTTAGAAGATGGTGCTTGTTGTTACCGTGTCTGACGTTCGGCATTTCGAGGTAAAAACATGAAGGGGTCAGTTTGCTGTATCTGAGTTGGGTATTCATATTGAACTGTGGCCTGAAACCGGCATGGTCGGTTTCACATGAAACTGTCCAGCTGAGTTTAAGTGAAATAATAGCGTAGTAGCAGCAGCAGCAGTAGTAGAAGTAGTAGTAGTAGTAGTAGTGAGTGAGTGAGTTTAGTTTTACGCCGCTTTTAGCAATATTCCAGCAATATCACGGCGGGGGACACCAGAAATGGGTTTCACACATTGTACCCACGTAGGGAATCGAACCCGGGTCTTCGGCGTGACGAGTGCACGCTTTACCCACAAGGCTACCCCACCTCCCCAGTAGTAGTAGTAGTAGTAGCAGTAGTAGTAGTAGTAGTAGTACATGATGAGTGTGGCACAATCAAAATACTTTTCAAAATATGTTTAAGGAAAATATTTTCCCCAAACCAGGCGTCTACTTTCTTTTGTACATCAGTATATTAGCATGAATGTAAAGCAATGACAGGCAAAATGTGGACATTTTATTCAACTCAGTCAGATACATCAGGGTCCCCCTGTCAAAAATATGTGGGTATGTGAGGGTCAGAGGACAAGAATCGATTTCAGCAGCCAATGAGCGTCCGGATGATGCAGGTGAAAGGCGGGACAGAGATACCAGGAGGACTGACAGGATGTTACTGCTGACTGGGATACACACAGTACAGAACAAAGTTAGCTCGGCACCAGAGAGGTTGTCAACGTTACACGGTGTCAACATAGCAGGGCAACCATCGAACAGAAGGGGAAGCAGCTGAACAGCATACACCCATAAGGTAGTGAGTGAGTGAGTGAATTTGATTGTAAACTTCGTTTTAACTACGTTTTAACTTGGTGGACAGTTTGTCCAGAAGGTTGTCCAGTGGTTGAATGCATCTGTAATTATTCCCCTTCCGGGTCGACAGCCACTGTCCACTTTGGCCATTCGCCCATTGAACAACGTCTCTATAACAGGAGTGACGTTTCAATGTAGGTTCTGACACTGTTATGAAGCAAGTAAATATTTTCACTTGCTAGATATCGGTGTTAGAACCTCTACAGAAACGACGATCCTATTATCCTCAAACTTCTAAAAGCCTTTAAAAAACTACTATAGCCTGTTTGCAGTGAAACCGTACCGATGAATTTCACTCTAAACAAAAAGGTAAATCGAACAAAGTGATATTAAGATTGCGAATCCTCATAATTTTACCTTGGTTTAAGTTAACGCTCATAACGTACCGCACGTGCTTTTGTTTCACTGTTCCATCTACTGCGCTCACCCCCTTGTGATACAAACCAATAATAGCGATTTGAAACTATGATCGTTTGTTAAACAACTTTTATCGTAAGTTGAAAAAATTCTGAGATTTAAATGTTAAGACTAAAGTATCGTTGAAACTATCAGTTTTAAGCTAACACATGGATCAGTTGGAGATTTTCAGACTAGGGATGTTTAATCTGGTGAAAGTCAGAATGTAACCCATGAGCTAGGGATGCAAATATGATGTAGAACACCAGGTTTTTGTGTCCTCACCATTGACTAGTGTTAACAAATGTAAATATATATCTAATTACTTTGGTTATATTTTGTATTTGAGTAATACAGGTATATATTTTATGTTTATGTCTTTCGAAAGTCCTTTAAAGACCAGATGCCGTCGATGTTTCTTCTACGTCTTAAATGTAGAAACAAGAGATATGGTGAGTGACTATAGAGATGACACGTTGCAAAAATGTTTATAAAGTTCTGTAGACACAGTTTGTGTCTGCCAATATACATTTATCTCGAATATCCCGAATATTCCCACCATACAGTGATAAATACAACCGATTTCTCAGCTTCGCTGTAAATTGTATTCGTTCGGCACAGTAATATGATTGGCGGGCCAATTATAGTATCACACAGCTACCTGTATATTGTACAAGTATCATTGCAGTACTGTATGAACACGGATTTACATACTTTCTAAGCATATGGAGGGCACGGGTGTTGGGCCTGTCGCCTACGCCGCCGGGATTCGCCGTGCAATAGTGCGTCCCTCGTGGGTTCGAATCCCGGTTAGGTTCCTACTTTTGTAAGCACCACGCCCGTGTTCTTAGTTTGGCAGAGCATGCTCACACGCTTTTCGTGAAAACCTGCCGCAGTCAGTGATCCATTAGTGCCATCTACACAACTTGTTTACTCCTTGCATCAAATGGAATCTGTTCCTGAGCAGTGATATAAGTGGGTGAAAACGCCGTGATATAAGTGGATGAAAACGCCGTGAAATAAGTGGGTGAAAACGCCGTGATATAAGTGGGTGAAAACGCTGTGAAATAAGTTGGTGAAAACGCTGTGATATAAGTGGGTGAAAACGCCGTGATATAAGTGGGTGAAAATGCTGTGATATAAATTGGTGAAAACGCTGTGATATAAGTGGGTGAAAACGCTGTGATATAAGTGGGTGAAAACGCCGTGATATAAGTTGGTGAAAACGCTGTGATATAAGTGGGTGAAAACGCCGTGATATAAGTGGGGGAAACGCTGTGATATAAGTGGGTGAAAACGCCGTGATATAAGTGGGTGAAAACGCTGTGATATAAGTTGGTGAAAACGCTGTAATATAAGTGGGTGAAAACGCCGTGATATAAGTGGGTGAAAACGCTGCGATATAAATGGAGGAAAACGACGTCTCGTTGATATAAGTAGAGAATAACGCCGTGATATAAGTGATATAAGTGGGGAATAACGCCGCGATATAAGTGGGGAATAACGCCGTGATTTTAGTAGGGGATTAACGCTGTGATATAAGTGAGGTGAGGTGAGGTGAAATTGGGTTTAACGTCGTGCTTGAGAATATTTCGCTCATATGACGACGTGCATGCGTGTGTATGTGTATGTGCGGCTGCTTGTACTAGCCCAGACTGAAGCTGGTTTTATAGTGCTAGCCCACTGAGATACCATGCCGCAGTGAAGCATGAATATCCCACTCAGACACATTATACTGACTTCGAGCCGACCAGTCCTTGTTGTGCCCATTAATGCCGAGCGCCAAGCAGGGACCAACAAGTACCATATTTGAACGTCTTTTGGTATGACGCGGTCGGGGATCGAACCCGCGACCTTCCGCTCTCCGGGCGGACGCTCTAACCACTACACCACAGAGGCGGTCGTGATATAAGTAGGGGAAAACGCCGTGATATAAGTAGGCGATTAACGCTGTGATATAAGTAGGGGAAAATGCCGTGATATAAGTGGGGAATAACGCCCTGATATAAGTAGGGGAAAACGCGGTGATATATGTGGGGAATAACGCCGTGATATAAGTGTGGAATAACGCCTCGATATAAATGGGGGAAAACGCCGTCTCGTTGATATAAGTAGAGAAAAACGCCGTGATATAAGTAGGGGAAAACACGGTGATATAAGTGGGGAATAATGCCGTGATATAAATGGGGAATAACGCCGTGATATAAGTAGAGGAATAACGCCGTGATATAAGTGGGTAATGTTGAATGTTGAAAGCGGCGTTTAACCCACTTCCGTGAAACGCAAGAGCTCGGTCTCGGTGCCAACAAGCCTACAAACATGATCTTGGTCCCCTTTCACAAAGCACTGAGGTGATCGGAAGTCACTAAGGTAACCTTTAGTGCAATGTTAAAGAATGGGAGTTAAGGTTAACCTACAAGATTGCTTCGTGAAAGGAGCCCCAGGTCTAATATGGGAATCATAACGTGCTCGATAAATTTCTTCGCCAAACACGGCTGGTACAGGTACAACCAAAACATGTTGGTCTCTCACGCGAGGTTCCTCCCCTAATATTGTCCTGTACGTCCTGTAAAGGAAATTCAACATAAAGATGTTTTATTTCGAACCGACAGTCCATCAACAACCTGCCCACTGAAACAATCTCACTTCCGGTCCTCGTGACACATGGTAGACATAGACATCGCAGGCGGCGAGACACTCTGACAGCAATCAGCTGTCAATCAGGGAATGTAGATTTCAATACTTATCGAGATGTCGCCATGACATTCGCAACAGTGGGTACATATGTACGTACTTACATCAGTCGACTGTGAGTTTGAAAGTAGCTGTTTTGTCGATCACCGGATTATTTAGCCCAGGCTCGATTACTGACAGGCCAGTGGCAGCGTTTGAATATACAAACCCGTAACCATTTATCGTTATAGATTTATATTATTTGATTGTAGATTTCCTGTCTTGATCGCCATTGAAATCTCTACGATGACATCCAAATATCCTGTGGTGGTGACGGGTGGATCTGGTTGCTTGGGGCAACACCTGATCAAACTTCTCCAAACGAATGCTGATCACGTGACTGAGATCCGGGTACTTGACGCCATTCCGTACGAGAACAAACTTGGTGAGTTGTGAAGGCTACTTTAGAAAAGCAAATCCACCACTGTATATCAAGGAATATACTGCACTGCAAAAGAAAGTATACACTTATACAGGATAGGGTGACTTGTCTCGAAACGACTTTAATTATGTTTACCTAGAGTTAAAGTAACAGTTGGCGTCATTCAAGTCAGATATAAATAGGTACAGTATTGATGAATAATAGAAAAACCCATCTAACCAACCGTTATTTGAGTGTTGCAATGGAAACACAGGGGCTGATCCAGAGGGGTGGGTGTGGGGAACGTTTCCTTTGGACTTCATTATTTATGTGCACTCCCTACCTCCCAAATCCTGGACCCGCCCCTGAAACACGTATGGTGTCCCTCATGTTGGTTTACTTTGAGGAGGCTTTCATTGACTGGTTCAGTGTCGTGCCAGCGCAGAACCCGACGCGGTACACGCTGCCTGATCGCTGTAACACGTGACAGTTTACGAGCGCTTCAATCAGCTGCCACTTACTGTCACCGGAAACAATAGATTTGCACTGTACTATTACAATAAAATCGACGATAATCGAAATCGAACTTAGGTTGTATTTTCGACAGGGCCGATATTTTGTTTTCCCAAATTCATTCCGGTTTTCGGTATTGGTCTTGAAAAACCGCATCATACACATTTTGATATTTTTAATATCTTTTTTTTCGGATTATCTTCCCCACATGGGTACAATGTGTGAAGTCCTTTTCTGGTGTCCCCCGCTGTGATGTTGCTGGAATATTGCTAAAAGCGGCGTAAAACCATACCCACTCACTTTGGATTATCAAGACCGGTGATTCTCTGATGTTGACTGGATACTTTAATTATATTATTGTTATGAACAGATTTTGCGTGTGTTCACTTGCTGTTTGCACTGCCATTGAAAAAACAAACTCACTCATGAAATACAGAAGTTTTCAATTACCTCTTCAAGGCAAATTCAAAATGGCGGTCCATAGTTGAGGGCAACCCCCACCTTATTGTTCTTTTTCCATCGAATATTGACACCTTATTTACATAAAATAACATTGGAAACAAACTATTAGAATGCATGAGCAGACTAAGCAAGATGATATTAATGTGTTAGTGAGGTTCAGCGTCCAAAAAATATGGCATGATGTCTAAGTAAACTTTCTCAGTGTTCTTGAAACCGGGTTGAGTTATTGAGCATGCTGCTATATATTCACATTGGGTAGTTATTGAGGTTTCTTGGTTTTGTAAGTATAATTGTTATTGTTCGTTATATCATGTGCAGGTCATAAAGAGGCAAAGCCCGTGATTTCCACGTGCGGTGACGTCACCGACACAGCCACCCTTCGTCGTGCGTTCAGGGGAGCTAAGTCAGTCTTCCATCTGGCCAGTCTGGTCAGTGTGGGCAGTTTCCCTGACAACCAGGCCATGGAGAGAATCAACGTCAAAGGTGAGACACTAGACGCATGAAAGGTTTTAACAAGGGTGAAGACATGCATTTCACACACATTTCACACATCTTCCATGTACAGTAACACTGTGTGACATATCTATGGTGTACAGTAACACTTGTGACACAACCTTGGTGTACAGTAACACTGTGTGAAATATCTATGGTGTACAGTAACACTGTGTGACATATCTATGGTGTACAGTAACACTGTGTGACATATCTATGGTGTACAGTAACACTGTGTGACATATCTATGGTGTACAGTAACAATGTGACATATCTATGTGTACAGTAACACTGTGTGACATATCTATTGTGTACAGTATCACTGTGTGACATATCTATGTGTACAGTAACACTGTGTGACATATCTATGTGTGTACATCTATGTGTACAGTGTGTATCACAGTAACACTGTGTGACATATCTATGTGTACAGTAACACTGTGTGACATATCTATGGTGTACAGTAACACTGTGTGACATATCTATGGTGTACAGTAACACTGTGTGACATATCTATGTGTACAGTAACACTGTGTGACATATCTATGTAACACTGTGTACAGTATCACTGTGTGACATGTCTATGGTTTACAGTAACACTGTGTGTTTTTATATATATATATATATATGGTGTATAGGGACTCATCAGGTGATTGATGCCTGCATCAAGGAGGGCGTGGACTGCCTCATCTACTGCAGCTCCGTTGAGGCTGTGCTGGAGTACGACGCCATCGTCGATGGCACCGAGGACAACATGAAGACTCCTAAGACATATTACCACGAGGGGTATGCCAAGAGCAAGCTCAAGGCAGAGAGTATGGTACTGCAGAACAACGACTGTCAGTTGGACACAGGTACAGTACCACACTCAAGGGGTTATCTGATTGTTACATGGGCGGTGGGGTAGCCCAGTGGTTAAAGCGTTTGCTCGTCACGCCGAAGACCTGGTTTTGATTCCCCATATGGGTACATAGTGTGAAGCTCATTTCTGGTGTTCCCCGCTGTGATATTGCTGGAATATTGCTAACTAATCGTTTCTTTGTACAAACATAGCTTCTAACTGTTATAGTTGCGTTAGAATAGGGTTTCCAATTAGGTTACCATTATATTAGGAAATTGTAAATATAACCCCTTTTGGGAAGAAGCAGGAAATTTGTTTGGGTTTCGCGTTTGGTTAACTTTTATGGACTCATCTTCGGAAAAGAATCAGATAGTGCCTTCTATAAAAAGTGTCTGTACCCCTATGTAGGTGGGGTACTGAAAACGGCCGCCCTACGACCCTACGTCTTCTATGGCGAACTCGACCGCCACTACGTCACACAGCTCTTGAAGCTGGTGAAGAAGACGGCGGGCATCCTCATCCAGACAGGTGACGGCAAGGCACTCCACCAGCACGCCTACGTCGGCAACAACGCCTGGGCCTTCATCTGCGCAGAAAAGGCCGTACGTACCAACCCTGCTGCTGCAGGGCAAGCTTACTTCATCACTGACGACACCCCCGTTGACGACATCTACAGCCTTTTGAACCCCTTTTTGGAGGAGAAGGGCATGCGGCTATCCTCAGTCAGGTTTCCCTTCTGGTTGATGTTCATCATCATGTATCTGGCGGAGTGTTTGGTGATTCTCCTGTCCCCATTAATCAAGATCGACATTGGAATCACCTCCAGCGTCCTCCGCTTCGCAAACACCACCATCAAACTGAGTAGCGTCAAGGCGCGCACCCTGCTCAACTACATGCCTCTGTTTTCTGTGGAGGAGAGTCTTCGCAATGCACGTGCATATTACCGGGATGTTCCAATATAGGCACGTTTGTCTTCAGCCTGAGACCACCCAGTCTTGGGATAGTGTGTACTGGAGCGGTCAATGCAATATTTTGGTATAAACATACTACGATTATTGATAAGTCTTTGACAAATAATCGACTTTATTTTGTCAATTAGATATTAGATATGCAAACACGTGTCATGATCTTCATACACGCTATCAATGCAACGTATTGACACAGTGACTCTATCAATGCAACGTATTGACACAGTGACTATCAATGCTACGTATTGGCACACTGTCAATGATCTTTATACACCCTATCAATGCAACGTATTGACACAATGTCAATGATATTCATACACCCTATCAATGCAACGTATTGACAGTGTCAGTGATCTTCATAAATCCTATCAATGCAACGTATTGACACAGTGTCAATGATCTTCATAAATCCCATCAATGCAACGTATTGACAGTGTCAATGATCTTCATACGCCCTATCAATGCAACGTATTGAATACACCCTATCAATGCAACGAATTGACAGTGTCAGTGATCTTCATACACCCTGTCAATGCAACGTATTGACACAGTGTCAATGATCTTCATACGTTCTATCAGGGCAACGTATTTGCACATTGTCAATGATCTCCATACACCCTATCAATGCAACGTATTGACACAGTGTCAATGATCTTTATACACTCTATCAATACGACATACATACAGTTTTAATTTACATTACAAATGCAGCTCTCTATGCTACTGTGAAGAATGTTTTTTGTGATGTTTCTAATATTTGTGTCAATGAAAACATTACATGAATCCTTTGTCGATGTATTGTATAATGTATTTTTACAATTCAACATGTCAATGCAAGTTTATATTTTTGTACATGGTGATGTCGATATGCAAGACATCACCAATGCACCGTTTAATGTCAGTCTTTATTTAGTCAGTTATGTATGCAAAGCCTAGTGTCTCTATCAGGGTCATGTTCCAAGCGATTCTTTGTCAATGTTGGAGTTCGATGCAAGCATACTGTATACTTATATTTGTACCTATATGCAAGGCATAATGATAACACCAGCGCAATCTTCTGGTGTGTTAAGCTTAAACAGCGATGCCTGCAAATCAGGGGCGTCTTGGTCAATTAATCATCCATTGCCGTTGTAAGACCTCGAAGCATTTTTAAGCAATTCTTTGCCAATGTAAAAGAATTTATGCAACACTTAAAGTATGTTATCAAGCCTTTTTACAATGGCCGCCATATAGCTGGCATATTGTAAAACTAAACTAAACTAACCTGACTATTTTAAATGTCAAATTTCAATGCAATATTAGTGTCATATTTATTACTGTACCTGTTTACGTTATTTTATTTATCCCTTTATGTATTCTATCAATGCAATTTTTACATGTATAGTTATATTTAGTTTTATTTATAACCACTAACAAATGCAAGCTATCAATGCAACTTTTTCTATGTTGATCTGTTTAGTAATATTCCGCTGCAACATTTAAAACATGTTGTCAAGCATTCTGTTGTGAAATCACATTCAACATCAACACACAGATCTACGTTCAATGTCAATGTAATATTACACTGTATTTCTCAATAGTATACCCTATGTTTTACTGCAGCTGTTACAGTTTGCGTTTTGTCCGACCAGTCATTAATTACTGTTTAGCCAGTGTGCAATTTTAAGCTATATTTCTTCAATTCATTATGTCCTTGGTAATGTGAACATTTGAGATAGATAATTTTAAGTTTACTTCAACGCTACCATAGTGCAACGCAGTTCTGAAGAAACTCTGTTCCATACATTGCAAACAGTTTAAGTTATGACGATGCTCAAGATTCAGAAGTTCAACAAGATGCATAAAAACAATGCAAACAGTTGTAATGTTTTTGTATGACGATGTCACTGTAACTGATAGCTAACTAGAAATTTTGTAACATTGTTATTCTGTTCCAAACTGGTAAAAACATTGCAAAAAATCATAACCGTGTCCATAAATCACAATCAAACACTGATGGTGTTTTTGTAATGGTGATGTCACTGTAACTGTAAACTAGTAAACATCTCTAGGCGACTCTGTACAATTACTATGACGAACACCTCTCTACATACATATGGGGACTATGGCAATTACATGACGAACCGTCTATAAATCATTCATACATGATGGTGTCTGGTTTTCCTAATAGGCAGACGGGTGAAAAGTTACTCTACTTAGTAAACATCTCTATCGACTCTGTACAATTAAATGACGAACACCTCTCTACATACATATGGACTATACAATTACATGACGAACCCCTCTCTACATACACATGGACTATACAATTACATGACGAACCCCTCTCTACATACACATGGACTATACAATTACATGACGAACACCTCTCTACATACACATGGACTATACAATTACATGACGAACACCTCTCTACATACACATGGACTATACAATTACATGACGAAACACCTCTCTACATACACATATGGACTAACGCCTCTGTACATACAATTACATGACGAACACCTCTCTACATACATATGGACTATACACAATTACATGACGAACAGCTCTACATACATATGGACTATACAATTACATATGACGAACACCTCTCTACATACATATGGACTATACAATTACATGACGAACAGCCTCTCTACACATATGGACTATACAATTACATAACGAACACCTCTCATACATGGACTATACATGACGAACAGCTCTCTACATACACATGGACTATACAATTACATGACGAACAGCTCTCTACATACACATGGACTATACAATTACATGACGAACACCTCTCTACATACACATGGACTATACAATTACATGACGAACAGCTCTCTACATACACATGGACTATACAATTACATGACGAACACCTCTCTACATACACATGGACTATACATATACATGACGAACACCTTCTACTATACATGGACTATACAATTACATGACGAACATGACGAACACTACATATATATGGACTATACAATTACATGACGAACACCTCTCTACATACACATGGACTATACAATTACATGACGAACCCTCTCTACATACATATGGACTATACAATTACATGACGAACAGCTCTCTACATACATATGGACTATACAATTACATGACGAACAGCTCTCTACATACATATGGACTATACAATTACATGACGAACACCTCTCTACATACATATGGACTATACAATTACATGACGAACACCTCTCTACATACACATGGACTATACAATTACATGACGAACACCTCTCTACATACACATGGACTATACAATTACATGACGAACACCTCTGTTTAGACACACTCACTGGACAAAATACTTGACGAAGTCCTTTCTATAGACATATAGACTAAGCAACTGCATGACGAACCCTCTCCATATTATATACTGTACAATGCATAATGAGGCATACAGGGAAACATAACGGGTTTTAATTACAAGAAGCCCCTTAACATCACTATTCGAGAGTGATAAAACAAGACATGTTCATAAAGCAGTTTAGACTTCGCAGTCGAATTTGCTTTCAGCAGAGGTTGTTAGTTGTTAAACCCTGCACTAAGATTCAAGCTAACAATCGACACTGGACCAGACAATCCAGTGATCAACAGCATCAGCATCGATTTAAACAATTAGGATACGATGAGATGTGTCAACCATGTGAGCGAGCCTGACCACCCGATCCCGTAGTCGACTTTTACGACAAGCATGGGTTACTGAAGACCAATTCTAACCCGGATCTTCACGGGTATTAATAAAACGTACTGCTTTCGTAATAAAGACGGAAGTCTTTCTTTTTGCAAATGAAACTTCTGTCCACATTATGTTGATTATAGATTTTACCAAGCATATCTTTCTATGGATGAATAGGGTTTTCGTGGAGAAGATTATATTTGAAACAAACGTAACAATAGGTATGTATTAGTGCCATTTTTTATCGAACCATAACATTAACCAGTAAATGCTTGTGTCTTTCTATAGTTTTTAGATACAAACACAAACAGTGTGAAACCAATTTCGTTATTTGCGTGATAAACATAAGCTCTGTTCCATGTGGACTGTAAGATACTGACCACAGTTCAGGTCTGTCCACACTCGTCTCCGTTGAATTCATCTACGTTTCAAATAGAGAGACATTTTGAAAGGGCTGATGTTTCCTTGAATTAGTAATAAGTCTGGTTATGTAATCTTAATGGTCGACAACATCCAAAATGTTCACACAACCTACTTTTAAGGGACATGAGCCTTCAGCCTTCAGAAAGACCCTTGGACAATGATTAGAGGCAATAATTACGTATCCAGTTTTTCGGTAATAGTTTGTATTCTCACTGTGTGGACGCCCTCTAACTCTCTCTGAAACTCTTTCTAAGGTGTTCGACACATCACAAAAAAGAATTCAGTCCCGATATTGCCCATCTTTGATCTTGGCACACTTGGTGTCAGGTTTCAATTAATTGAAGGGGAGTTGAAGGACAGCACGAAAACCATGAGCTATTTTTTTACACTAATTGGCTCTGATTCAACGTTTCAAACTGTTTACCACTTTCGCTAATAAGAGGAATGGGTCAATAAGAACACTTAAATAACTGCATTTGCCATTCAGATGGTTAAAAAAACGTTTTGCAATGATAAACATTACATATATTACACAAAAATACATAGAACACACCACTTATAAGTACCGTCTTTTCAAAAAGATTTATCGAGTAGCAAACACTGAACGATGTTTGGTGTTTCGACTGTATTGTACAGCATTGCTGTACGGACGTATCGACAGAACAAGACGTCGGCAGACATGTCAACCAACGCGCTGCCAACGTCGATGTATTGCGTCTGTTTCCGGGACGCCGGAGATAGCGAAGCAGCTATTGTTACAAAGAAGGGCGAAGGCGTAATGATACCATTGATTTGTTGCCGTTACTGCAAGAACTATTGCGGGTGCACACAGTAGGCACCACACTCCAAGACGAAAAGGGAAAACTCCAGCACACTGTGCTAATGGATTGGTCTGCAAACAGTAATACCTACAGTATCGACTAGAGTGGGCTGGTTGTTTAACGCCAAACTCAGCGATATTTCAGCTAAATGGCAGTGGTTTGTAAATAA